CCAGCTCAGGTTTGGTTCTGCAGGAGCCTCTGCTCCCAACTGTGCAGCTCAAGGCAGAGCAGGAGCCCCAAGCTGTGCCCCAATGACTCCCATCTCTGCTCTGATGGGCACCAGCACCCTGCAAGGACTAAGCAGTGTCCTGCTGACACAGGTGCTTACTGTTTAATGCTTACAGAACACCTAGGTCACATGCAATCGTTTTGTTGCAAATTGTGGAACATGTGAAAATTTTCCTAAGGACATTCTCTGATGTTTGCTCTTTGTATACTTTCAAGTCTAATCAACAGGAAAGGAGATGTAATCTGTGAAGCAGCAGCTAACAAGCTCTAGGAGATGCCCAGGTGTTTAAAAGACAAAGTATTTGTTGGTAGAATTGCCTTGTTAAGCTTTAGGGCTTGACATGCTTTAGTGATCTCAGGCCTGCAGGGAGATGAGCAAAGCTTGGGAAGAAGGATGTCCAGTGACAGTGGACACACAGAATGCAGAATTTAGGGGCCACAAGGACATGTGACAGAACTCCCAGACAAGGAAGAAACTAATAAAACCAACTGGAGCAACTGTGCTGAACCAGCTCTGACTGGGTAGAAGGGATTTCCCAGCAGGGGCAGATCCTGACCACAGGCACACAGCCACCACCCCAAAAGAAGAGGAAGACTGAACATGAAACACTTAGCATGAGAAGCAAGAGAATCATTAACCAACAGAAGTCAGAACACTAATTAATAAGGGAACTAGGTAACTTAATGCCTTTGTTTGCTAAACTGTGTAACTAGTGAGAAGTTTTGGCAGCTGTGGTGCTGGCTTTGTGGGTTTGCCACCCAGCACCCCTTTCTGTGCAGAACTGTAACTGTATTTGACTTATTTAAAGTCAAATATCTCAACTCTGTGTGTGGATTGGCCTCTTGTACACTGGGTAGAAGAATACCTACTACTTTAAAACTACTTTAAAACAACAGTCTGCACAGCAGTATACAGGACAATATAACTAAACCGGCATTTTTAAATTGCAAGAAAAGCCCCCTAACAGGCACAGAGATTTTGAAATACTTGTATTTTCTCTCTTTTGCTCAGCTTGTTTTTTGCTGTATTTCCCTCCCCAGGTAGCACTAAGGTACCCAAGCAGAGCCATTATTTGGTCAGAATCTGCTGTTTGCCATTTTTGCTTGCCAGGATGCAGCACAGCCAAAGGAGAAGACCGAGCACTGTAACAGCCCTGGCCTCACCCCCAGAGCAGCTGCTGCACACAGCCACAGAAACCAAGCAAGGGCCACTTGCAGCGCTGGGGACAGCACAAGCAGCTTTTGTTCTAGGCAGTTTCCTCTGACACTTCCCTAACTCCATTTATTGCTCATAAACCCTCAAACTGAACCATTTCAAGGTCAGCTCCTGAGATCAGCTTGCCCATGCCACGCTCTCCAGTGAAAACTGTACTGATTCTTCTGGATTCAAAGGAACATTTCCACTCACTAGAACTGCAATTGGATTAGGTCCTATGATAGGACCAAGCTAGCTGGAGCTAGCTCTCCCTCATCTCAAAGATAATGGAAAGGGAGGAGCACACTGGTAGCAGCAAGAATGAAAATAAATGAATGTCTGACTGAATGGATAAGTAAATAAATCAGTGCACTGTACACAGCCATACAAAAGGGAAACAGAAATCCCAAGAGGGCAAAGCAGCATGCTCTAGGAAAGCACAGCATGAAATAGAAACAACTCAAACCCAGGAAAAAATACATGGAAACAGAGAAAAACGTCACCTCTTCACTCTGATTTTAAAAGAGGCAGCATAAACACAGTGTCTGATCTGTTTTGTTGATTTTTGTAAAGAGCATGTGTTGGGGCTTGGTTTCACACCCCTGAAACTCACAAAGGTGACTTGTAACACAAAACATGGCAGCTTCAGCAGAGTAGTCAAATGAGTTCCAATTCTAGGCAGAACATTCTCCCTTGTTCTTAATTTCCACAGAAATCAAATTACACTTAACAAAAGCCAGTACATGGCCTAGATTGTCTTTATCAATTTTTATGGGTCAGCAGAAGTAGGTATATATCTGTTGTTGGTCAACAGCTGCTGAACTGCTGAAATGGATCAGCAGCATCCAGGCATTGCTCAGTGGGGCTACAATGATCCAGGAGCCACACCAGGACTCTCCTAAGTTTGTCTGCAAAGTCAAAGAAGCAAAACTTCTAGAAATTAACTCAGAGCAAGACCACCAACCTGCTAGTGATATATATCCAACAGGACAAGGCTGAAAAGCATAATGTTTTTAGTAAGAATGCCTGAGCTATAACTCATGGAACAGATTTAAGCTGCTTCATCTCAAAATTAAAGCTCATGCCCTCAAGCAGAGTCTGAATTTGCAGTGTCACTGGGCACAGGAATACAAAGCCTCGCACAGTTTGGGGCCCACTGCTCACAGTTAGTTTGTGAGGGCACTTGAGCCAGTCCTTTAACTTAAATTCAAATTTCTAGATTAACTACAACCACATCCAATTCCAAGGCTGGCTATATGCCCACCAAATTTAGGGACACATCTGGATGAATCACAGCAATAGGGCTTTCACAGGAGTGGCATGACTTCTTCAAAACATCTGTATTGTTGGTTTCTAACAAAAAAAAATTTAGCTTGGAAAAATGAAAGCTATTTCAATATGTAGTTGGGATAGTGGGTGCTATTTTTATGCTGGTATGCAAAAACCCCAAATTTGAAGGAATAGCATACTAGCAAAGATGGACACACTGGAGGATACAGCAGAAGCCCCCCCTACCACTACCCTCAGCTGGAAATAAGTCTGTTCTGCCATTTTCAGACAGCATCTGAAGAAATGCTGACAGCTTTGCAACACTGCTCACCCAGTCATTAACATAACCTTACCAACCACTGCTGCAAGTTACACCTGAACAGCCAAGCTGCCGTGGGGGCATCCAGTGGAGAGGGTGAGAGAGCTGCCTTTGCTCCAGGGCACACGTGCACACACACAGCAGCAATGATGTGCTGAAAATTCATCCCTGACCCTGCCTGCCAGCAACATATCCATGCCAACACCATGTGACAAGAGCTGATAGTACACTGGAAGCTCAGGTACTTTAAGCAGCTGCCCTGGATGACAATTTCTGCTTACCAGTTAAAAAGGATGTGAAACTCACTCTTTCTGTGCCTACATATGTCTCTAAAGAGGACAAGAACAGCCTGTGGTGTGAGAGTGAAACACAGGCACAATCTCACGGGCCTTCATCACCCAGCGAGTCCCTTCTGCAGGGTCATCCCTGCACTTGTCTGACTTTGTGCTTGCTCTTTTTACCTCAGCACGCTTTGACCTTAAATCCATTATTTATGTTACCTAATCAAGGATGAGATAGTGAATGCTATTCAAGCAGCATGCTGCCATTACTGGAAGAAAAAGCCAGCAGAGTCTCTCTTGAGTGCCCAGCAGGTTTCCTACCCTGGCCTGCCCAAGTCTGAGCCAGGCCCTCCTCAGGAACTGTAAAGGGCCTTGAGCTTTCTACTCTAACACAGTTCCAAGACAACAGCACACCCACATTTCTGGAGCAGCTTCTGACCAAAGGAATCAACCACTCAGTGAAAAGAATTCAAGGTCAGATGAAGTTTGAAATTTAAAAAAAAAAAAAAAAGAAAAAACAAAAAGCAAGTATTCTGATCCACACTTTATGAAACATTTTAATTCCATAAGAAGAACATCAACAGAAAGAAAGAAATCAAAAATACTAGAATGACTCCTTACACAGAGAAGGCCTGTTGGGTGTCTGGAAAAAATTCTGCAGTACCAGAGCTCTCTTGACCAGAATGGTGAATTTCATCCCTTTAGGATAGTTCAAAGAGATATTCGTGTATGAGATACAAAACACCAAGGTGTGCCATATCATTAATGTATTTAGTACTCTTCAGGGGGTGCAGGCATGCTCCTCACCTCTCACACTCAACCTCTCCCACACAAATACAAACTCAGACACAGGCAAGCAGTCCCTGTTGAAGGGACTGTCCGGCTTGATTTGTCCTGATGCACAGTCACTGTGCTGTCCCACCACTCCTGAGCGGGAGGACTCTACAAATAAGGTGACCTATTCCTGACAAAACAAAAAGTCTGTTTCCTTTCCTTCCTCACAGAGTGCTAGACTGGGGATAATTCTGGAGAATTTCACTAAGTGGCCCAAGGATGTAGATGGTGTGGCTTTCCTACCAACACTCTTTGACTGTGCAAGCCTTTTGAAAGTAGTATGTGGAGTTTTGCCATGTTGTACTGCCCTGCCCAATTCCAGTGACCTCTGTCATCCCTTCTGCCCTTAAAGACCTGTTGTCATTTTTTTCATATTTGTGCACTAGCTGAAGGCAGAGCAATGAAAACAATGCATTGCTAGGGGTGAAAACAACCATTTCCACATCTCAATTTGCACGCTTTGCCATCGAGATGCACAGGACAGTAACTGTTTCCAGGCAGAAGCTGATGAGATACTAACACACAAAACTAAAAAGATTAGAGAAACGTCTGATTAAAGAACATATGAGAGTCACGCTGCGCATCACTGCTGACTGCAGGGCTTCTGAACGACTGCCAGAAGAACATAATCCAAAGGTGCAGCGTCGCCTAAAAGCGTAGTTGACTCTCAAAGCGCTAATGTCGTAGGAGCCGTTTCTCCTCACGGAGCGGTGTTCCCGAAGGCGATAACCTCGCTGCCCACCGCGCCGCTCCCCGGCCGTGCCGCATCCCCTGGGCGCTGCCGGAGCGGGAGGCGGCCGGGAGGGGCGGCCGGCGGCTCCCCGCGGGCCCGGGGCTCCGAACCCCTCCGGCGCCGGCGGCGGGGAGCGGACCCCGCGCCCGCCGGGATGCGGGCCCGGCTGGGGCAGCGGAGCCGGTTCCGGGCACGGCAGCTCCGGCCCCCCGCCCGCGGCCCCGCCGCTCCGCCGGGCCCCCGCCCGGGCCGCGCTGCCCCCGCCCCGCGGCCCCTGCCCCGCGCAGCCCCGGGCCCGCCGCCGCCCTACCTTCGTGTAGAGCTCGGAGGCTGCCATGGCGCAGGGCGCGGGCGGGCGGCCCCTCTGCGGCAGCCCGGCGGCGGGAGGCGGAGGCGGGCGGGAGGAGGAGGAGGAGGAGGAGGAGGAGGAGGATGCTCAGGCGGCGGCCCGCGCCATGTTGCTGCTACCTGGCGGGCTCTGTGCATTGTGGGAGCGGCGGCGGGGACGGGCAGCGACGGGCAGGGACGCGGGGCGGGCGGCGCGATGCCTCCCACCGGCGGGCGGGGCGCGGGCCCGGCCCGGCCCGCGGGGGCG